GGATTAATCTCCATGATGTACAAGCAGCTCATGCAGCTCAATAAAAAAAAAAACAAAGAACCCAATCCAAAAATGGGCAGAAAACCTAAATAGACATTTCTCCAAAGAAGATATACAGATTGCCAACAAACACATGAAAGAATGCTCAACATCATTAATCGTTGGAGAAATGCAAATCAAAACTACAATGAGATATCATCTCACACCAGTCAGAATGGCCATCATCAAAAGATCTACAAACAATAAATGCTGAAAAGGGTGTGGAGAAAAGGGAACGCTCTTGCACTGTTGGTGGGAATGTAAATTGATACAGCCACTATGGAGAACAGTATGGAGGTTCCTTAAAAAACTAAAAATAGAACTACCATATGACCCAGAAATCTCACTACTGGGCATAAACCCTGAGAAAACCATAACTCAAAAAGAGTCATGTACCACAATGTTCATTGCAGCTCTATTTACAATAGCTAGGACATGGAAGCAACCTAAGTGTCCATCGACAGATGAATGGATAAAGATGTGGCACATATATACAATGGCATATTACTCAGCCATAAAAAGAAACAAAATTGAGCTATTTGTAGTGAGGTGGATGGACCTAGAGTCTGTCATACAGAGTGAAGTAAGTTAGAAAGAAGAAAACAAATACCATATGCTAACACATATGTATGGAATCTAAAAAAAAAAAAAGTCATGAAGAACCTAGGGACAAGACGGGAATAAAGATGCAGACCTACTAAAGAATGGACTTGAGGATACGGGGAGGGGGAAGGGTAACCTGGGACAAAGTGGGAGAGTGGCATGGACAAATATACACTACCAAATATAAAATAGCTAGAGGGAAGCAGCCGCATAGTACCGGGAGATCAGCTCGGTGCTTTGTGAACACCTAGAGAGGTGGGATAGGGAGGGTGGGAGGGAGGGAGATGCAAGAGGGAAGAGATATGGGGATATATGTATATGTATAACAGATTCACTTTGTTATAAAGCAGAAACTAACACCATTGTAAAGCCATTATACTCCAATAAAGATGTTAAAAAAAAATGCATGGGACATGCATGGGTTTGAGCCCTGGTCCGGGAAGATCCCACATGCCACGGAGCAACTAAGCTCATGTGCCACAACTATTGAGCCCGTGTGCTGCAGCTACTGAAGCCCGTGTGCCCTAGAGCCCATGCTCCGCAACAAGAGAAGCCACTGCAATGAGAAGACCGAGCACCGCAAGGAAGAGTAGCCCCTGCTCACTGCAACTAGAGAAAGCCCACACGCAGCAACAAAGTCCCAACGCAGCCAAAAATAAATAAAATAAATAAATTTAAAAATAAAAAGATTGTGGGGCTTCCCTGGTGGCTCAGTGGTTGAGAGTCCGTCTGCCGTTGCAGGGGACACGGGTTCGTGCCCCGGGCTGGGAAGATCCCACATGCCGCGGAGCGGCTGGGCCCATGAGCCATGGCCGCTGAGCCTGTGCGTCCAGAGCCTGTGCTCCGCAACGGGAGAGGCCACAACAGTGAGAGGCCCGCGTACCGCCAAAAAAAAAAAAAAGTGTGTATATTCTACAGTTTTTGGGTATAGTTTTATAAATGTCAATTAGGTTAAGTTCCTTGATAATGTTGTTCAGATCTTTTATCTTCTTACTGATTTGTGTATGTGTGTACTTGATTCATTAGTTACTCAAAGAGATTTTAAAATCTATTGCCTATCGGGCCCCTCAAGATGGCTGCTCTCTTCCTCTTTATATATCCCCTGCTCGACCAGCCCCTTCCCCAGCCAGTTATTATTCTAATCCTTAGACGAAAACAGCTCCACCTGCTATTTTATCAAAGAGAAACATCTGCCCTCATTAACCGGAGGGGCTGTGAAGGACCCTCCTCTGCCGGTTTCCACGGTAACTGATGAGCCAACCTGATGTTAATTGCCCCTATAAATAGTAGCCTCCTTTCCCTGGAGTAGCAAGGATTACTGCTGTGTCTTGTCTGCTGTGGGAGGTGAGGTGTGGCTCCAGGCCTTTGGAGTTGTAATTTCCTATACTATTGATTTCTCTGTCGCTGTTTTCAGGTTCTTTCTTCAGTCTTGCAACTGAGCAATTACAAAGCTTTCAGGCCTGTGAGGCGCAGCCCAACACCTATATTTCCCTTTAGTTTTATCAACGTCTGCTCTTTCTTTTGAAGCTCTCTTATTAGGTGCAAATGCATTTGGCATTGGTATGACTTCTTAATGAAGTGAACTTTTATCAGTGTGAAATAACCTTATTTATATCTGGTAATACTCCTTGTCTTAAAGTCTACCCTGATATTAATATAGACACAGTTTTCTTATGTTTCGTATTTGCATCGTTCTAGAAATCCCATTCGCTTCTTTTTTAGAATTTCTATTTCTCTTTAAATACTCCATGTCTTCATGCACTATAATCCAACCTATATTTTAAAATCTTTAATGTATTTATAATAGCTGTTTTTAAGTCTTTGAGGCTAATTACAATCACTGGATTCTCAGTGAATTGGTTTGTATTGACTGCATTTTCTTTTGATTATGGATCCCATTTTTCCTCTTTGTATGTCTTGAAATTATATTGTGTATTAGACATTATGTGGAAAAAATTGTGTAGGCTGAAGTTTTAGTTTTAGTTTTGAGAGTGCAAACCTTTTTTCTCTTCTTAGTACTTCAAGTGAGAGGCTGATGGTTTTTTCTTTTTTTTAAATACTCCTAGATTTGAGTTGGGCTTTAGGGTTGGCTGCAGCTTTAATTAGATTGAGTTAACTTGTGACCCAAATTCCAACCTCCCTCTTCACAGCCACCTGTTATATCTTGTCAATGTTGAGTTCCTACACGTGTGGAATGAAGTTTTAGATATTATTGGTTCACCTTTGTACTCAATTCTGTCTGGGCTTCTGGAACCCAAGTACTATAAGAATGTGTTGGCTTACATAAGTTCTGTATCTTTGCAGCCCCTCCTCTTCTGCTTTTCTAACAAAACCAAGAAGTAAGACTTGGGGGCGGGAGAAGGGATTGTTTGGTTGTCATTTATTCTTTCATTTGGGTATCTTTCAGACTCTGGTTAATTCCCCAGCTCATGCTGACTCTTGAGGCCCAGCTGATTTCTCATAAAGTGAGCTTTATGCTTACTTAAGGAGATGTTCCTCTCTGGATTTCAGGTCATCAAGGCTTACAGGGAGGGCGGCTTCATGGGCTTGCAAGCTGTGCAGTTGCATAGGACCTACTGATTAGAAGGACTCTATACTAGGTTTAATAGCCTGATGTTACCATCTTAAAATTCTTATTTTTTGAACAAGGGACTCTGAATTGTCACAAATTATGTAGTCCTGCTTACTGGCATCCATCACTTCTCACTAACCCCATAGAAAAGTAAGATTTTTATTTGGTCTGGGATTTTCATATTGTTACCATGGAAGCATCGGTGTTTTTGCATCCTTCTACATCCTAGCAAGGTCATAAGTCTGTTTAATTTATGCCTCATCTCCTTTTAACTTCCCCCCTGTAGAACTCTGGGATTGTATATTGAAATTATCTGAAACTTTCCTATGCAAGTTTCACTTCTTCAATTCCTTTTTCTAATTCCCTTTAGTTGAAATGTGGGTATTTTTAGGGCTTTGTACTAGAAGTGGTTTGACAGCCATTACAAAGGGGAAAAAAAGGTAACATTTAAATTGTTTTAAATTGGCTCCTTTGTATTCTGTGCATTTCAAAATATACTGATAGCTTTCTTCTAGTGAAATTGCTATACTCCCTATTCCTGAAGGTTATACTGTGAACATTTTTTTGTCTCTAAGCATTGTGTGCACACCATCTCTTATTTCTTATTCTTCTCAATTTGGTGAGGCCTAGAGCCTGTGTTTTCCATAAAATTTCTTGACAGCTCTGTGCATCTTTGCTTCTGTACACTTGTTTTTTATAATGACTGTCACATATGTCCTTTATTTTATTTATTATCTGTTATAAATTAAACCATAATACAATCTTTTCAGACATGTCATCATCAGAATATTAGGGTATTATATTAGGATATTCTGAATTCTTGTTATTTTTGCCTTCTTCTCACTGGTTTTTCATTCTCTAGAAATGGTTTTATTATTTTTTAAAATACCTACACATTTCTTTGACATTCGTCTACTCATTTATTCATTAATTTATACACATCACAGTACTTAATTATGCACTGACCATTGGCCAGTCACTACATGAAATTTTGACACTTCAGCAGTGATTACACTACAGTTTTTGTCCTCATAGAGATACAGATCTGCTGTTGTTACCATAAAGAATCTTTTGGGGGGCCAAGAAGGGCTTCCTAGAGAAAGCAACTTTTAATTTGATATTTGAAATAAGAGTTAAGTAGGCCAAGAATGAATTGGAGGGAGAGGGTTTGGGGCAGGGGAGCCTTCCAAGCAGGACGAATGTGCACACAGTCTCTAAGGCAAGGAATAACAAGATGTCTTGATTAAAATTAATTTGTCTAATGAAAGAATACATTTTCAACTTACAAAGAAACTACTAGCAAAAATGGGATTATTACTTACTACACTGAAACAGTCAAAGATTTAAATTATTTTCACCAGGTCACTACTGTGCCTTTTAAAATATTCCATCAGTAAGAGGAGAATGTTATTATATTACTGGCTCTGAATTTATTGTAGACACCATCCAAGATAGCCCAAAATATCTTGGAACTCTTGTTGGAATTGGAAATGAGGATATTCAGCAGG